TATCTTCTCTGAGAAAGTGCACTCTGATTTTTCAGCTCTCCTGTACAAAGAAAGAGGATGCATCACTAGCCAGATAATGTGGGGAGTAATTATTTTATACCATCTCTACAGGTTAGAATAGAAAATAGAGGATCCTAAATGAGAAGAGTAGCTTTTTATTGTCCTAACTCTTCTAATCAGCATGTTAAAGGAAAGTAATATAAGATTGCTGGCTGATTTTTTTGAAAAATATATTGCTTTGGATAAATTTTATAAATTTGAATCACATCTAAATATTTTTCTCAATGTTAATTTAATAGTGCAGTGAGCTTAACTTTAAAATACAATTTTATAGTCAACAAAATGGAATTTTTTACAACTTACAAACTCTATGCCTGTTTAAAATGTTCTATTATATCAACTCAGAGTAATAAGGTTTTATCATTTAAAGCCTTTGGAAGATAGTGCTCCAAATAACCACGCTTAGGTATTTGATGTTAGGAAGATATAAACTAGTGTTTCTTACATATAATCATTGTGCGACTTCATTACACATTTGTCAACTTTGGACTAATTATTTTTATACAGCTAGGGCAGGGCACTGCATCTTGTGATCGTCTTTCTTACTAATAGGATTCTGTCTGCTTCAGCAGACAGTAATTGAAGGCTTCATGTACAGAGTGAGAAAAAAAGTTTTAGCCCTAGTGGGCCATTGTCACAGCTTCTGGTAACCAGTAGAACAGAAAGCATGAGAAAATTGAACTCAGAATAGAAAATCAGAAACCAGGAAGTCTATCCAAGAGAAGAAAAAGCATGTCTTAGAGCTGTTGCATTAAGTGTAGCAAATACAACTCTGTGTAAAAGTTTATGTTTGTGAATGCCCTGGAGGTTGATGCAGTCTTGCTGATATTTTTTAATTCATGTTGTCCTATTAACATTTCAGTTAATACAATTAAGTTGTAGGATTTCTTTTCCTTTTGACAAATAGCATTTATGATCCATAGCTTACAAATCTTTAAAAAAAAAAAAAAAAGAAAAGAAAAGAAAAGAAAAACAAGCCCATATTTTATAGATAAATACATTCGTCCAAATTTGTTGTTATTATTTGACCTGTTTTCATAATTCTGTCATGTTAAAATAAATTGACTTTTTTTTTTTTGAAGAGTGTTTCATACTTTCATTTAGGTTTGGCAACCAGTTTATTTTGTCTTTTTCTTTAATCTTAAGAATCCTTAGCTTCAAATATTAAATGTCAATTGCTAGCAATAATAAACAAAGAGACATTTAATAAGATGAAATACAGCTATATCCAAACAGTTTTACCTTCTCGGTGATTATAAACAGCAACTGCTTGGTGATAGAATGAAAATAAATTATGAAAAATACCTAGGCGGTATCCTTTTAATAACACGGAGCCCAGCCTACATAGGCACTGCGTCTTTAACTGCCATCCCTTATCCGTCCTCATTTGTGGCATTCTGGTGTTTGAGGTTGGTTGATCTCCCAGTAGTCCCTCCCTGTGTTGCAGCTCCATTCAAGATGTTTTGTATTTTTCATTGCTAGTGTCTCTTTTGAGGGAGTGGGTGGTGGGATATGTTTTAAATATTTTAAATCTTTAAAGGCAGAAATGTAAAATATTTTATGACAAAGCATCGTGCAAGGTGCTTTGAATTACAGAATATTCAAAGTCAGGTACACAGTTTTTGAAGAGAAAAATCTTAGTTTTTTAAGTTTATTAATTTGGGAATATTAATAGATTATGTGCATATTAGGTAAATAAGACGGAAGCAGATTCTCTCTATCAATTGACATTTAAAAAATGTTAGTGCATTTTTGCAAATATTAATAGAATCTGTGTGATCCAGAATTACAATAGAATGCGTGGATTCAAATTCCTGTTCAACCATTCAGGAACTGTGTGTCCTGAGCAAGTTTCTCAGCTTCTGTGGGCCTCAGTTCCCTCATCTTTAAAGTGATCTGCCTCATGGAATCAAATGAAATAGCACAAGTGATGAAGTATTAGTACCCACTGCACAAAGCACTTAATAAATGGCACCTGTTATTGTCATTATGACGATCGACAATGTCACATGCCTTCTGAGAAAACGTTGTCGCCACGTGATCCTAGTTTGAGGCCAAGCACAGAGGCTCTAATGTCAGCCACTAAATGCATATACGTTTTTGACCCAAGCTGTCCTTGTAATCAGTGTTTCTTACATCCATAAGCTAGCTGATTACTGTTTACTCAGTAGTATTCTTTTCATAACTATCTTTTAAATTGGGAGTTAAATGATGAATAGATTTTAGGGAGTGGCTTTTGGTTTCCATGAACCAAAACAAACCAATTGTAATTGTGCTGTGTTCCAATTAAATACATCCATTTGAACTATGAAACAAGTGTATCCAGACATCGACATGGTCTGCTTCAGAGCAGTGCTCCCACCATTTTGTGCCCACTAGGCTAGAGACTGGCTGCAGGGCCGTCGCTTTTATCTCCGCTAACAGGTTTATTGCTGGGATGATTCGCTTAGCATGTTTCCACTGCAGTGTAAGCAAATGCCTCTTCTTTCATACCCCTGTTCTTTACAGTACTGGGGATTTTGTAGTAATAGGATTTCAGAAACATGTACAAGACACTAATTTTAATCTTTGTAAACATACTTGTATCAGAATTGACATGTATGTCTCCTGAGTTTGTATTATTCTAACATGACTTTCAGTTTTCAATAGAAAGAAGATAAAATGTGCCTTAGGGCTCTGTAACCCTGAAATTCAAACAACAGTGCTTTTGTGTTCTCATCAGACATAATCTCCTCCGTGGTCCCAGGGCACAGACTGTTAAGTAGATAAAGGGACTAATAGGACTATTGTTTACATAGTTATAACTCTATCGGAAACGGGGGCCACTGCTGAAATGTTTGGTGATGACCAGATCTGTGGGGGAAGTTGCGTGAGTAGGACAATAGGGCCACCTCATGTCCCTGCTGACGTGGTTTCACAGAAGTACAGAAACAGGACTCTCCCAAAGTGTAGAACCTCAAAGATGTGGACAAAAGACATGCACAAACCTGCAAGGGAGACAGAAAAGAGAGGTCATCATGGAGCTAGTGAGCTTTGTGTTCTCTCCAGGATGAAACTGGAGTCCCCAGTTCCTGAGCTGTTGTGAGGATGACTGAAGAGCAGGTGGACGTGGATGTTAAGAGCTTTATAAAGCCTCTTTAACTCCGTGTGATTTTTGTTCCCAGGCTGGTTGTTTACAGTTGCTTCCCTCAGTAGAAACACCGCTCTGGTTCCTTACACGTCTCAGTGTGTTTGGAGAGAGTACGCAAATAAATGCCTGGGAGAATTGCTAACATACTTTATCAGCAGCCCATTAGCTACCATTTTAAAACTCAAAAGTGTTGATAATATTTTCAATTTAGTAAAATTAGCATATTTGTTTTGCTTTTCATGCAGTATTCTAATTATTGTTGGGAAACTGATTTTCATGATTCTATTTAGGTCAAAAATGCCTTCTAGGTTTCAAAAATAAAAGAATCTAATGTGTTATGAGATCTTGATGTCATTTCAAAAAAAAAAAAAAAAACCTCAAAAAATTTTTCATCTACAGAGAATCTGCTTCCTGCTTAAGTGGCTAATATTTTAATTAAGTCGGGAGTGAAGTTTTTCTGAGTGTCTCCTGATAAGCTCCCTCTTTTATGTTGGTGGTAATTAAACAGATCCCCGAGGACGGGGCGGGCTCCGCTCCGGGCCCGTGCTAATTGTCAGACATGAGACACTGACCAGTTGGTTTGCTCTTGAATAGTCCGCAGCGTGCTGTCAGCGGGGCAGTTTTATTTTTATGTATTGTGAGCTGTTGTCAGGGCTAACTGGGTGCCATTGTGGCTGAAGATGTTGCGCAAATTGAGGCAGATGGCTCAGATTCAGACACGTGTCACATAGAAAGGGGAAAGGGGATTGGCCCTGCAAAGTGGGGTCACAGCAGGTCACAGACCTGCTCTACACTTGTTAGTGTTTTCAAAAGCTCATGTGCAGCAACTTTGTTTTTCTCCAGTCATCCCTGCAATTAAATCCCCCCCCCAAAAAAAAAAAATGTGTGGAACACGCTCCATGCGGAAAATGGAAGCCCAGGAGGGTACCATCTTTCCTCCACGTCTCTGGGGCTCCACTGTGCACGCAGAATGAATTAGCGGGATTGACAGAAGTTCATTGTGCCTCCAACGGCTTTTCAGTCGATTGCAGTGCTTAAAAGGCTAGTTTTGCTTTTAATTCCATATAATTAGTAGGTTCTTCATGTCTTGGAATTTAGTAATGGAGCTTTAGACCTCAAGTTGCCTGTATTCTAAAGCAAAAAGAAGGATTTAATGTTCTGAACGTTTAAAAAATTTAAAAAGAGGGAGAGAGTGTGATGTTGCACTTGGCTGTCATGTGATTTTGTTACATGGTATCATCAACAATAGAGGTTGAATTTGAATATTTCAACATGCGTGAATTCATTGAAACTTAAGAGTTTTATATTCCACATTAAGTCATCTAACTTTTTACGTAATTATTTTCAGATATGAGGGATTAAAATTTCAAGCTCTTTGAGAAAGGTACCTTTTCTTAACATGCTTTAAAAATACAATTATAGAGGTTTATTTTAAGTGGCCCTATGCCTGGTGAAATGTTAAATTATCAAATGGATGGATGATTCCCAATTTATAGGAATGGAGAATTATTCACATGTATCTGCTATTTAAACTAATAAGTAAATTAGACTTTCTTTTCCTGTTCTGTTCTAAAGATGCACTAAAATCACCTGCTTGATGTAAGCGTGGTACTGGGAAATTTATTGATTTGTTTTTCCCCCAGAAGAATGCTTGGCTTTGGGTTTTTGGCAGTAGGGAACATGTAGTAAATTATTGAAAAGAAAAAAAAAAAGTCATTTTAAACCTATTTGAATTTCTGCGGTCTCCTTTTCCCCTCTCATGATAAAAGGTCTCTCTCTCTCTTTCTCTCTCTCTTTTTTTTCCTCACAGGTTTGCAGCTAAAACTGTGCACAGTGGGTCATTGATGCTAGTCACAGTGGAACTCAAGGAAGGCTCTACAGCACAGCTTATCATAAACACCGAGAAAACTGTGATTGGCTCTGTTCTGCTGCGGGAGCTGAAGCCCGTCCTGTCCCAGGGGTAACCTGCTTACATCTGGACTTCAGAATCTGGCACACAACAAAAGTGCCTGGCATCCACGACTGCTGCCTTTCATTTATAATAATAGCCCTTCCATCTGGCAGTGGGGGAACACACTCCTGACATTCTTGTCTCCTGCTTTAGAATGCTAGTGTGTAGCTCCCATGTATGCAGTACTGTCCCCATTTTCGCTTTGCTAACCAAAGAACATATTTTTTACTGTCAGTTCTTTCAACTCTTGAGTCCATGTGGCATTTTCTCTACCCTGCTACTTCTTCTGTCCTTCTCATCTTCCTTCCCTTTTTCAACAATGATGGACGTGAATTGGATATTTAAAGTTTATTGGAAATCATCTTCTTCCCACAGTAAGCAAAAATTAGCCTAGAAATAGTCTGTATTGCCTCTCAGCTTGACATTTGAAGATGGGCTACTTTTTAGAATTAAATGCCAAAACAACAAGATCTCTGCAAAATTTTGTTCTATGAATTTCCTGGTATCGTAATTGGTTATTGACAACTGTCATCATGAAATTATCTCTGAATAATAAGATGAATAAACTAGCATAAAAAGCATTTGCCTTTGCATTCTTTTAATGAGAAATTGTTTATAATTCTGAAGTTTGCATGTGCTTATTTTTTTTTTAACTCTATAGTAGATAGTTTGAGTGTTTTATTATGCAGAAAAGCAAAGGGTTTAATGAAAGAAAAAACACTTTCAAACCAAGCAGATGTTTCTAATTGTGTTATATTCTTTACTTTTGCATAAAGTAATATTTTTTGCTGCTAACTTAGATTTAAAATTTATGTTAAATCAGTAATATAATGTATAATAGTATGCTAACAATGGAAACCACTTTAATATCAATAGCTTAATATCATTAAAATATTTTTCTCATAAGTGAAATTAGAAAAATGACCAAAGTCCCATTTCAGATTTGGATTTTTGGGGTTTTTGATACAATGATTCAGAGTTCCTTGCCTCATATTTCCTTTAACTTGATCATAATCCATGATTATCTTTAAATTATTCCATTGAGTCGAGTTAGTCAATGTTGAATTCTTAATTCTAGCTATATTTTTTCATTTTAATGTCCACTTAATGGGACATTTGATGTGCACCAATCTTGAAGAATTGCTCTCATAGTATATTTCAGCCTGAGCCTCGTTTTTAGTATCACAATGCATTTGCTTTATTTATTAAGAGAAAAGGAGAGCACTAGCCGGTTTGGCTCAGTAGATAAAGCATCAGCCTGTGGACTGAAAGGTCCCAGGTTCCATTTCGGTCAAGGGCACATGCCCGGTTTGCAGGCTCACTCCCCAGTAGGGGGCATGCAGGAGGCAGCCAATCAATGATTGATGTTTCTCTCCCTCTCCCTTCCTCTTTGAAATCAATAAAATTTTATTTTTTTAAAAAGAATGTTTTCATTCTGAAGAGATGAGAACAATGGAGTTATCAAGTTAAAATACTGGATACTTATCCTTCCTAATAACTATTTGCAAATATTTGAGTAACTTTATAGTAGCTTACAAAAAGTTTGCCCTTGTAACCTGAGTTTTTGTTGTTAAGAATTTAGAAGTTACTATTAGAGAAGACAAGAATCCAGAATGATGAATAACACAAGGAGAAGTTAAAAAAAAAGATTGGACAAGCTAAAGGTAAACCTAAGCTCATTCATCTTTTTTGTTTCCTTGATTAATCTTTTTTATTTTATAGGGAACTTTATCTAAAAGTTCAATGTTGAATTCTTAATTATTTTAGAATAATTAATTATTCTACTATTAATAAAAATATTATTTTCATAGGAGGGAGCCCCATGTTATAACACAAAATTAGCAGAGCCTTATTTCCTTGCTACTTAAAGACCACATTCACTCAGGAATGTGAAGAATGTTAGTAACCCTTGACAGGGTTGTTCGAAAATAGATCTATATCCCCAAGAAACCCACAGTCCAGTTGTAATAAAGAAATGGCAGTGTGGAGTTCACCAAGTTAGTGAGCCCTGGTTTGCAAACAAATTTTGTTTACATCCTAATATAAGCTCACCTCCTTCCCTAACACCACTCGCTTCCAGTACCAAGTCCAACAGAGTTAGACAGTCGGTCTCCAGAGAATTGCTAACTTCCGCCTCCAGCTCCTCACACAGGTGGCTGGCCAGACCAACCAGCCACTGGGCCCACTTTGTTCTTCCATAAATTGAAGGCCGATTCAATTTCTGATCATGTACTTGCTTGTTTTTTTAAATCAATCTTCTTCACTTCCACCTTTCGACTTCACCAGTTACCTCAGGAAGTTTTCATTACTACTTTTACTGTCTTCTTGAGATTTGTAGGGAAGGAGGGCGGTGGGAGAGGCATCAAGTTTATGATAGTGTTGTGGAAATTGTGTTTAATAGAAAAATATGTGGTTAGATGGACCAGAAGATTTTTTTACTCTGTACAGTCTCCACCTGCTTTCTTCATGTGACTGCCTGACAAACTACATTCAGTCCAACTGAAGGGGTGCTTTTCTCTCTTCCTGTTTTGGTAACTTTTTTTTTCCTACCAATTTTCAACTGTGTTGTGGAGAAAGCAGAATTTTAAGGTCTGACCTAAAAGTTAACCACCATGTGTAATTGCTTTTTGAGGAAAAGTGTTTCAGATTCCATAGGAGCAGACTTGGAACAGAGCCGTCTGAATACTGACGTGGTTTCTGGGAAACACAGTGAAGCAGTTGTCTGGCTCATTGTCTCTTCACAGCAGTAGAGCTGTTGAGTTCAGAGGAGGACCGGATGAGGGAGACGGTGAAGCTAGGAAAGTCTTGAAAGTAGGGTGGCATTTAGAGTTTCCAGAAGTAGGAGAAGGGAGAGTATATTGATCTCAACTGAGGCTGTATCTCTCTTTTCTTTTGTCAATGTATTGAACTTAGAGGAAGGGAGAGAGAGTGAAACATAGGTTTGTTGTTCCACTCATTTCTGCATTCATTGGTTGCTGCTTGTATGTGCCCTGACCAGGGATTGAACCCACAACCTTGCCACTCTAGCCAATTGAGCTACCCAGCCAGGGCTAAGAGGCTGAGTCTTAAAATGGTTTTTAAACACCTTTGTACAGAAAGCAGCATTGCCAACACACCAGAAAGTGGTGTGTCCTTTTCCTCTCTTTGCCCTCATTTCTTTCCCTCCCACAGCCTCTCCCTGAAGCCATCCCCAAGCCTCCCCAGTGGTCTGTGGGCTTTTACAGGAGAAACGGATGGTTGGGTATTACCAGCAGGGCTGTGCTGCCCTTGTGAACAGTATAGAGGTGGGAAAAACAGACTTAGTTGGTTTTACTCTCCCATAGTTTGATATTTTTCTTTGAGGATTTTAGTTATTTCCTATACCACTCATTAAATGATTATGAGTTGAAATGACACTGAAATTTCTAATCTCATGTTTGTCTTTCTCTCAGGCGAGGATTATGTATATAGTCACTTGCACATGTAATTCCTAACTGGTTCAGTAATTATGTACACCAGAGACCCTAAGCCCTCAGAACTCAAATATGGAATCATTAAAATGTCAAACCTATCTTCAATGACATTCTAAGACAATGGCTTCTCATCTACAACCTTAAGGACCAGAGATGCCAAAGATTCAGGTGTAAAAGTAGGAGAATCTTTATTCTGAGATCTAGAGATGTTTAGAGAACCGAGCCAGTAGGCATTTCTGCCAGTGGGCTCAGTCCTGCCGGTCCTTCAGACCACAGGCGCTACAGGGCATTTGGAGAGAAAACGGAAGCCTTGGCCTGGGAGGGGCGAGGAGGGGGAAGGAAGAGAGAATAGCTCTTAGATTGTACCCCAGCCAAGATTCTGATTTCCCCCAAAAAAGAGCATATCTTCTCAGGCCATATAAGAACCACAGTGTGTGTGTGTGTGTGTGTGTGTGTGTGTGTGTGTGTGTGTGTGTGTGTGTTTAAGCAATGTAATGAATGAGGGCTCTTGCATAATGGTAGGGGTTAGCCATCTTCATGGATAACAGTAAGGAATTTTTAAGACTATGGATAGCCTACAAAAAGAAAAATGTTAAATTCTGCCTTTGCAAAGTAGTTAGGAAAGGTTGTATGGCAGTGGGCTCCTCGGACTAAATTTAAACCCCCAATTTCTAATGAGTTCATGGTTGTATGCTTATTCCCCTTTGTCAGTAAACTGTACCGTGAGGAGTGACAACAAAGAGTAAGTTGTGAACTCAAACATGCTGCCAAATACCCTCCCGATGTAAAGTTTGACCTCTGAGACTTAGGAAGCGAAGTCATATGAGAAAGGCTTCCTGCTCGCGTCCCTCTGAGGTCGTGTTCACCCAGGCCTGCGTTCACCAGCACCTTAGGGCCTCAATGGAACATGTTGTAAACAAAGTTATGGGCAGCTCAGTTTCCTAATTGAAAGTAATTATGATTTCTTTGCTGTGGTGTAATTACCTTAAAAAATGTTATTTGATGATTAAGATTCTGGAGTGAATTGTGTTCTTTGGGCTCTTGCACGGCTCCTCCGTTGGGGACTTGGTTTCAGCGGTGTGCAGCTGCTGGAGTTGATTTACAGTGCGGCGGCTGTGGCTGGTCATAAATAAATCCTCTTATATAGTTGTTATGAACACCTGTTAGATCATCTGTCAGCAAAGCGCTGTTCACATTTATCATGGTGCGGTAGTTATTTTACCTCAATCCATTTCCAACTGACTCAGCCTCCATCGCCGGATTACTGTTACCACCCCATAATCGCTCGTTCCCACTCCATGTTACAACTTGCAGATAAAAGATTTCACTACTTGGCCAAATTTCATAAATAAAGGAGCAGTTCAGTGCAGTAAAAGTTTATTTTTGTCATCATTTGTCACCCCATTATTCTATAAATCAAATGGAATAGCGCCATTGCCAGCTCAGGCGTTGCTGTCAGCCCTCGGCATGGAAATGGTCCGTTTCTTCCTTTTGGTTGAGATGACATGTCTCTCAGACTTAACCGGCTTATGGCTTTGTTTCACCCATTTTATTTTATTACCCCTCCAGAAAAATCCCTGGGGAACGGGAAGACGGAAAGAGTAAAATGGAAACAGAAAACACAGCCTAGCATGCTGCTTACTTAGCCCAGTGGTGTGCATCCCTCACCCCACCCCTGCCAGACATTAGGAACCTGACCCCCACCTACCCCCCGCTTGCACACGGGATCCTTGGCTAAGGATGCTTTTCATAAACTTGTAAAGGGTTATGGTTTCTATTTTGGAAAGGCCATTACAATGTGGAGTTACAGATATTGAAATACCTGATGTATATCCCCGGAGATCCACTCCATTTGACAGGCTTTATGCAAAGAAGAGACAAACGAACGGGCTTCTTTCCTCAGATGCATTTTAATGGCCCAGGTCCTTGAAAGGGAATGGTCACCCCCAGAGAGTGCCTTCCCCCTGGAGGTTTGTCTGCTCTGGAGCTTTGGAGAAAGAGTCAAGATTTATTAGCAAGTTGTGAACCCTGTCTCAGGTGTAAAGGCCGTGGAAGGCGATGTCCCCTAGTTAAAGGGAAGAGGACAGAAAAAGCTGGAGGGACGGGGTAATAGAAAAGGGTTCATAGTTGATACTATACTTCCAAGTTGGTTCTAATTCAAGTTACATTCTTCATAGTCATTATGTAGCTCATAAATTCAATAAAGTGTTTTACTGTTACTATAAAAATGACAGGAGGGGGGTTTTATGTTGTAAGTTTCGTTAGTTGCTCTTCCTGCTTTATGCTGAAGTCCTCAGGCCATTATGTCATTAAACTCCTTGGAGTCTGAAGGGCTCAGGACCCTGCATCTCTTGCCTTCTGCACCGTGGCCACCTCGTCCCAGCTGGGCCCAGCCACCGGACTTAAAGCCAAGTGGCTGTGGTGCCAGGAGGGCGGGGGTGTTTTGGCTATTGTTTCATGAGAAGCAACTTCAGTCTATGACGAAGTATAGTGGAGTGGCCATAATCAATTAAAAAAAAAAGTATAGTGGAGTGGTCTGGGGCCAGGGGCAGCTTTAGGCCGACTATGCAGTAGAGTCTGAACATTCCAAAGCAAGAGGCTTTTCTATAGGGTGATGTGGACTTGCTGGGTGAGGTGTGAGGAACTCAGGCTGTGTGGACTCGGAGTGTTTTCTGTGTCAAGATTGGTCTTGGCACTGGACTCTGCCAACTTAACCCTCACCAGTCCTTGGTAAAGTTCTAAGAAAATTTAGAGT